ATATCTTCCATTGTCCAACCCATGATCTGACAGCTTGTATCTTAAGCTTTCTTGGCTTCTGTGATTCCAAACCCGTCAACTGATGACACTTTTTTTCCTTTTGACCAGCTTCTCTTAAGTTTAGTTGTACTGTCTCCACGGGAAGGTGACGTGTCCTGTAGAACTCCTGTGTAGATTATGTTTTCATTTCTGGCCCAAGGAGCTCGTTCTCCCGCCGGTTTTTCTGGGTACCTGGAAGATGCCTCTTCGCTATTATCCAAGGTGACCTTCCCCAGCGCGCAGCTTCCCAGCTATCCCTCCGCCCAGGAGCACATCCAGGGCAACATCTGTTAGCTGAAATATGTCAATCGGTATACCATCTATTCCTAGGGCCTTGTTTTTTTGCTATTTCCTTCAAAGCAGCTTGACCTTCTGAGTGAGGTAATAGGTACCATAAAAGCAAGGTGGGGTGCATGGTCACTGATCGTGGGTATGTCAAGGAAAGTGTCTAGGGAGGTAGCATGACTTTGGGACAGGCAGTTTAGTACCAGGTAGAGTGAAGGGAAAGGCAATGCAGATGGGCTGCATTGGGAAGGAGACATGCATGCAGGCAGTCAACCTGCATCTCCAGTGAGGACGCATAAATTAGTCTTAAGACATTCCACTGAGTTTCAATAGAACAATTACAAAATAGGGTCACTGTTCAGTGCTGTGTATACAAAAAGCCCTCATTGTCACTGAGTCAGAACTAACTCATAACTCAGCCTCCAGTGGGTTTCAGAGGTTGTAAATGGCATTAGACAAGATTGCCCAGCTTCTTCTCCAGAGTACCTGGTGGATCCGGACCCCTAAAGAGGTATCACCTCTGGATTAGCAGCATAACCCCCCATAACTATACTATCACGACTCCCTGGATGTAAAATATGTGTTAAAATAGGATGATAGAGGGGGGAAAAAATTCTGAGTTAACCAGAAAATTCAATATAAGGGTCTTGAAATAATCAGAACAGTTTCTCCAGATGCTGTGTCAAAGGTTCTTTTGGAAAAATACCTGATAATGAAAATTTGCTTTTGGAAAGAATTCTTTTTAGGAGATGATGCCACCAAGCAGCATGTTAAAAAAAAAAAAAATCAAACCAGTGCCTGCCTCTCTCCGCTGGGGCTCTATGCCACGAGATGCGCGGAAGGACAGCAGCTTGCCAGCGGGCCACTCCCTCAGGGAAATTAGAATGAAAGTCGCTTCTCCAAGCTCCAGGGGGAGCTTCGTTCTTTATCAGCATCTCAACATGCTAACACAAGGTGAGACAGGCAGCTGACACTCCTGCCCTGAGCTCAATACATTATCCCGTTCACAGTTTACACTGCTCCTTTGTGGAATGGAACTCTGCCATTGCTCACATGGTTCACACCTAACTGGAGGAGACAAGGATGAACATCATGCTTAGGAAGGTACGTCTTCATGGGAGGCAGAGGGACACAAAAAAAACCCCCAACAGTATTTTAATGGACTTTCCAGATTGTTGGCTTTGGCAGTCTTTGTCCTTGATGCTGGCTCTTTTTGACTGCAGGGCATACTAACCATGTCTGTACCAACCCAACTGGTTGGTGCAGTTTTCATAATTCTGTGTTTACCAGAAAAATCTTTCTTAGGTCAGTCTTATGAAACAGGGGGGTGAGTTAGTTACATGCTCACAAGGAACACTCCAAGTGTGGACCATTCAGTAGGCTGTGCGGTATCACTGCTGACATTGTAGCCTTGATTCCCTTTTTGGAGGTCAACGGACCAGCACATGAGCAAAGTTACTTGATGTCTTGCTGCATTTCACTCATAAAATGATATTATTATCTGCAATGAATTTCCCTCAAAAAGGTGTGTAAATTTTTCTGTGTAAAAATACTACTTTTGGTTTTCACAACAGGCAATGTACCCTTCAAAACACTACCATACTGTTGAATTGCTGTGTCACTTACCCCACTCACATGCATACTGTTGTCACCACACAATTCACTCACTCAGTCACTGCTTATGAGTCGATTCTGAATCACAGCAACTCTCTCCGGAGGTTTCTGAGGTTGTTCATGAGTTTTGGGGGGAGTGGATTACCTGTCTTTCTTCCACGAAGCTGCTGTTGGATTTGAACTGCTGGAACCCACTGGTTAGCATCGTAACAGTTTAGGGACTAGGCCACCACAGCTCATTAAATAATAGTGTTAGTACAATAAAATTATGTTTATTTAAATATATTTGTATGTTTGGAAATAAGTGTTAATATTTTTATATTGATTTTACCAATCTTTGTGTAAAACATTTAAGACAAGCTGAAACTCATTTCATCAAATTAATTAGGAAGAAATTATTTGCATTCTGTAGAAATGAGGTTTTGGGTTTGTTTTTTTTTTAAAGTGACAGAATGATCTAGATGAGTAGTCTAGACATTACTATAAGACAAGTATTTCTCAAAAGTAGGGTCCTTTTTAGTGTCAGTCATTAGAACAGATCCATTTCAGCAGGAAAGGCTTTCATTTCTTCACAGAGTCTTCTGTATCTCTTTCTTCCAGTTGACCAGATGAGGTAGATGTTTCTCAGAATACAGTTACTAAAACCTTGGGATAGTCTTCTTTCTCCTTTAGCTCACTTGATTTTTTCTCCGATCTGAACCTAAAAATAAAACAGTTGCTGAGGAAAATGAAATATTCAAGGTATTTATCATTATCTGACAATGAATGGCATTTCTCTAGTCAATAAGCAAGTAATTATTTTCTTTCAATCAAGAGTCTCCCGAGTTTAGAACTGATAATGTATATTGTACAATCGAGTGGGAACCAACCCATGGCTAACCCTCAGCGGGTTTTCGGAGGCCGTTAATCATGCAGAAGGAGATTGTCCCCGTCCTTCTCCCATGGAACAGCTGGCGGATTCAAACTGTGTGCCCTCAGGATTGCAGCACAGCTTTTTACCATTAGGCCACCAGAGCTCCCCTTAATATATATTTATATAAAATAATAAATTATTTGTCCACTTAATAAAGAAAAAATACAAAATTTTTAAAATGTTAACTTTTGACTGATGAGATTGGTAAACATTGAAGAGATTAATGGACAAATATGTTTTTCATGTATATATTGGTCACATATTTATTCTTCTATAAAATGTCTATCCTTTGACAATTTTTCTACTGAGTTGGTTGCCTTTTTTCTAATTGTGAAGATATATTTGTATATAAATCCTAAATCAGTTTTATATATTGCAAATATTTTCTCTTGACTTGTTGGCTTTTATTTTTATTTATCTATTTCTTTTTGCCATACTAACAGTTTAAAAAATTTCATTTTCCATTATGTCTTTCACTTTATTGCTTGTTTTAAAAGTTTAGCCCATAAAGATCTTCTCTGTATATGTAATAAAAAATATTTGTTTACTTCTGATACATTTATCATTTTAATTTTTTTCATGCCTACTTTTTATCTATCTGGAGGTCTCCTCCAAATGTGGATAACCGAACAGTTTAATATCCTCTCAGCAAATAATCTGCCTTTTTTACTGTCACTTTCATCATCTACTGAATTCTTATGTTTCTTGTTTAACTTTTACCTCATTCACTGATTTCTATTCCAATACCATTATCACAGTTTTAATGGTCATTGCTTTACAATATGTTTTATTACCTGATAGAGCTCTCATAACGACCAACTGGAAACATCATGTTAGATGGGAGAAAAGACATTGTCAAAAGACAGTCAAAAGACATCAGTCCTTCAAAAAATCATTGTCAATGATTTCATTTTCCTTGGGCCCATAATTAATACCATTGGTAGCAATAGCCAAGAAATCAAAAGATACGTTATACTAGGAAAATTTGCTGTCAAGGACCTCTCCAAAGCTTAAAGAGCAAGGATATGAGTATAAAGACTAAGGTGTGCTCCTCAATCTAAGTCACGGTGTTTTCAATTGCTTCCTATACATATGAAAGTTGGATAATGAATAAGAATGACAGAAAAGGAATGGCTGCGTTTGAACTGTGGTGCTGGCAAAGGGTTTTGAATATCCCACAGACTGCCAAACGAACAAACAAATCTGTCTGGAAGGAGGTGAAACCAGGCTGCTCTTTAGAGGTAAGGATGATGAAAATTCATCTCACATACTTTAAGGCATGTTGTCAGGAAGGGCCAGACCTTGGAAAGAGATGTCATGCTGGCAAAAGTGGAGGGTCAGAGAGTGACCCTCAAGAAGATGGACTGACAGAATGACCACCACAGTGGATAGGAGCGTGACGGAGGCGGTGAGGCTGGTGCAGGGTAAGACAAGGCTGCTGTGAGTCATAGTCAATTTGTTGGTACCTAACAACAGAGCTAATTTCTACTTAATACTCTTTTTTCCCCCTAGAATCTCCTTTGTTCTTTTAATGTATTCTTTTTGAGGAATTTTGGTGTCTTTTTTAAAAAAGAGTTGCACTTACCCTTTCACTTTCTGCATCTGCTCCAAAGTCTCTGGTAGAGTTCTCCCAAAACTTTCAGGAAAGAAAAGAGTTATGATTCCCATCAGGATAGTCAGACTGCCCATGACGATATAAGGTAGAATTCTGTTATAAGCACCTGTAAAGCATGGTGAATAAAAGCATCAATTAAAACATGAAACACAAAACCAGATTCCCTGGGTTCTCTTGAAAATAATTTTTGTAAAGATTTTAAGAACAGTTTTAAAACTGAACATTTTTAGAAGACAAAAAAGCGAACAAGGTATCATGGTCTCTTCTTAGCAGATGCCATTGACTCTGCATTTCTATAACCATTTACCTACTTGAGTTTTATTACTTTAAGTGCCTTCCTGTCAACAGGTACTCTCTAAGCTACTACTTAATCGTGTGACAGATGTTCCTATGCTGGAAGTTTTTATTGACTAAAACTCCCCTCTTAGGGTGGAAGCAGTTGGAGAAGGGAGATGGAAAGACGTCAGTTTTTCCTCTTTTGCAGCAAGCACTTCAGGTCCTCCTCAATTTCAGCAAGCAGGTTCATGTCATCTGCATATCACAAGTTGTTGATGAGTCTTCCTCCAATCCTGATTTGACATTCCTCCTCATAGATCCCAGCCTCCCAAATTCTCTGTTCTGTGTGTGGACTAAAAAGGTATGGAGAAAGGACGCATCCCTGATGCACTCCTTTTTTTAATTTTAATTTTTATTTTTATTAATTTCAATGAACATCTACAGAGATTTTGAACTTCCACTCATTCACTGTGGCACTTTTCTCCCCGCCCTCCCCACCCGCACCCCGAGTTCACTTCTCTCCTTGAAAAGCAAAAGAAAAACTCCTTCACTGGTACACAATCTCCCCACACACCGCCACCCCCACCCTGAGTATACTCCACTCTGCAACCCTAATTCCGGACTCTTATGATAATCATAATGCCCTAAAATATATTACTTTTAAACTATTCTCTTCCTCATCAGCTTCAATGTAGTAAACATAATTTATCCAGTTTTTCTCAGTTTTACCCCCACACTGATGTCAGCCTCATTCTACAACAGTGGCACCATATAGTATTTGTCCTTTTGTGACTGAGATATTTCACTCAGCATAATGTCCTCTACTCTTTATTTTGAACCATGCAGTGTTCTCTTGCTCTGTTCTGAGGACTGCTTCCTGGTCCAAGTATAGGTCACACATAACAACTGGCCCAGGGAGGTGGTGAGCTAACACGAGGATGGGGCTAGCCAGGTAAGAAAGATCCACCCCATAATCAGGTCATACTATTGATTGACCTCAGGGAAGAAAGAGGGAGTTTGCATCACATAATTAGACCCCAATCAAAGCTCTAGACACTGAAGCTGCACAGACTTCCTGATTGGTGAAAAATGTTGATGATGCACATGAGAGAGCAGTGTGTTCCTTTTGGGGACATGGAAGCCCCAACATTGGAAACTCTCCCAGGTTTTACCATATAGATATCTTTATTTGTATCTTTTTTCCAAAAATAAAGCTGTGATCATAAGTTTAACACTTTTTTACAAGTCCTGGGAATTGTTCTAGTGAATTATTGACTTCAGTACTTGGAGGCTGCAAATTGGAAACGAGAGGGGCAATGTGGCGCTCTGAGCTTGCTGCTGATGTCCTGAGGAAGTGGAAAATAGATTTATAGTTAGCAACTCAACTTGTAGTTAACACTCCTGACTAGAAGTGTGAGCATCCTAGGGGCACCCGAGCTTACAGCTGGCGTCTGAAAGCTTGCCTTACTTGGCAGTCTGGAGGACTGTGTCCTTTTAACTTGTGAGGTCTGACCTAGCTCTGAGGGATTATGATTAGAGGGTGAAGTGCTGCACCAGAATCTGTAGCCAGACTGGAAGATTTGCATTTTGCTGATTATTATCCTTCTAAGAGATGAAATTGTACTTTTCCTACTACTTCCTGTGCAATTAGAAGTTTTTTCTTTTAAATTTTTTAAATTGGGATCTCAACAAAATTTTACAGAAAAGCTGGGTCTTCATTCATTCATTGTTGCCCATTTTCCTCCCTACATGCCCACTTTACTTAAAAAAATTCATTCAGTTTGCATAATTTTCTCCCTCCCCATCCCTCCTCAGTCCACTTTGCTACGTACCTTTTATTCTAAACTATTGTGATACAAATAGTACCTAATATATATGCCTTTTAAACAGTACTTTCCTTCATCTGTTCAAATACAGTGTTCATCATTAATCCCCTCTTTTCTTAATCTTCCCCAACCCCAAACTCCCATGTCAATCTTTTTTTATAACAGTGATATTATATAGTATTTGTCCTTTTGTGACTGAGCTATTTCACTCAGCATAATGTCTTCCAGAGTCACCCATGTTGTGAACCATTTTATGAGTTCCTTGTTTTTCAGTGCTGTGAAATTTCCCATTGTGTGAATATACCATCATTTTTCTAACCATTAATTTGTTGATGGGCACTTGAGTCGCTTCCATCTCATTGCTATTGTGAACAATGCAGCAATAAACATGAGTGTGCACATATCTGTTTGAGTGTCAGCTCTGGTTTCTTTAGGGTATATTCTTAGTAGCAGAATAGTTGGGTCAAATGATATTTTTTTCCACGAGAAAGCACCATACTGCCTTCCATAGTGGTTGAACCATTTTACAATCCCACCAGCAGTCAGTAAGGGTTCAAATCTCTCCACAACTTCACCAATATTTGTTACTTGCTGCTCTGTTGAACTTTGCTATTGTTACTGGGGTGAGATAATAGCTCATAGTTGTTTTGATTTGCATCCTGAGAGCGAGGGATTTTGAACACTTCTTCATGTGTTTGTTTGCCATGCAAATGCCTTTGGTGAAGTGTCTACTCATCCTGTCCCCATTTTGTAATTGTGTTGTTTACCTTTTTATTGTTGATGTGCTAGAGTAGTGTATAAATTTTAGATATGAGTCCCTTTTCAGATATGTCATTAGCAAGTATTTTTTCCCAGTCTGTGGGTTTTCTTTTCACCCTGTTGACGTTTTTTGATATATAGAGATTTGATTCTTAGAAGGTCTCATTCATCTTATTTTACTTTCTCTTAGTGGTACAATTTGATTTTTTAATAATATTTATTACTTTTATGCATAGGAAGTTCTGGTGGCTTAGTAGTAAGGAACTGCACTGTCAACCCAAGGCTTATTGTTAGAATCTGCCAGTTGTGATTCTGGAGAAAGATGGGACGTCAACTCCAGTGTGATTCACTGCCTGAAAACCTGCTAGTGAGTCAGCCTGGGTTGGTCCCAAACTCAACAGTACACAACAAAAATAAACAACTTTTTTTAAAACTTTTTAAATTTACTTATCATTTTTTTCCCCTTGTTGTATACTGTCAAATTGGATCCAACTGGCACAGAAGGAGATTGCCTCTTCTTCTGAAGAGGAGCATCTGGTGGATTCGAACCCAGCACCTTCAGGATTGCAGCGCAGCTTCTTGACACTAGGCCACCAAAGCTCCCTTAACAACAACCAACTTTTATGCTTAAACAAACTTATAGCCAGATCAAACTGATAAGATGCGTCTCACCTAGGTAAACGAAATAGGGAGCTGTGATGCTGCCCACTCTGGAGGCCATGGATGTGACCCCCACGGCCATGTTCCTGACCATGGTGGGGTACAGCTCTGCAGTATAGACATACAGCATGGCAAAAGCAGAGGTGACTCCAAATTTCCCCAGCATCACCAGACCAGTGGACACAGCATAGTAATCTGGAAAAGAGAGGTAGTGAAAATAGAGGTGCATTTTAAAAGTGATATGAATCACTGCACGTGGGCAAGAATAGAGAGTGAGCTGCAGCTTTGTACTTTGCTCTACAGTTATTTTAGATCATTTATGTGTTCAGTGACCTTTGTCTATTTTTCTTTTATTTGGTACAAAAGTTTCATGGTAAGTTGTCAGCATTTAATGTAGTTAAGTTTAATTTTCGAAGAGAAGAAGATGTATGACCCAGCACTGCCTCTGCTGGGAAGCTCTGGCAGCCTTCTACGGAGGCAGATGTGCTGTTAACACAAAAGCCACGCCTTTCTAGAGCCTCAGATCCACCAGCAGCATCTTGAGAGAAAGCTAGGCAATCTCCTCCCATGTGATCTGTAGCACTGGAAAACCAGTGAAGAGTCATAGTTAGCTATGAGTGAAGTCATACAGAATTTCTGTGTTCAGCTTTTTGAGAAAACACCAAACTGTCTTCCAGAGTGGCTGTACCATCCAACAATCCCATCAACAGTGTATGAGAGTTCCCACCTCTCTGCATCCTCTCCAACATTTAAACAGATTTTTGTTCACCAAAGTTCACTGTGGCATCATTCGCAATAGCCAAAAGGTGGAACCAATCCAAGTGTCAGTCAACATATGGATAGATTGAAAAACATAGTATATTCATATGATGATGGAATATTATTCAGATTTAACAAGAGTGATGCTAGAACATCAATGAATATTGAAAATAAGCTTAGTAAAATCTATCCGACACCAAAAGACAAATACTTGTGTAATTCCACTTAAGTAAAATATCTAGAATTGGCAAATATGTAGTGGTTGTTGTAATGTGCCGTCAAGTTGCTTGAGACTCATAGCGACCCTATGTACAAGAGCCCTAAACCCTGCTTTATGCAGTATTTGTCCTTTTGTGACTGAGATATTTCACTGAGTATAATGTCCTCCAGGGTCACCCATTTTGTATAATATTTCTTGAGTTCCTTGTTTTTCAGTGCTGCATAGTATTCCATTGTGTGACTATACCACAGCTTCTCTATCCATTTGTTTGTTGATGGGCACTTGGGTTATTTCCAACTCTTTGCGACCATGAACAAAGCAGCAATAAACATGGGTGTGCAAATGCAAGAATGGTTACCCATGGTGGACAATGTTTGGTGGAGCTTCCTGATTAAAATAAGCTTGGAGGCAGGAGTGGCATCCACTTCCAAAATAGCTTGCCTCTGGAAACCCTATGAACTTGGAGAAAGGACGAAAATTATACAAGTGTCCAGGTCTTTTGTTCATAGGGTTGCTATGAGTCACCTATGACTTGATGGCACTTAACAACAAAAACAACATATTCCCAGTAGTGCAATTGCTGGGTCAAATGGCATTTCCATTAGCAACTTTTTGAGAGAGTACCATACTGTTTTCCATATTGGTTGCATCATTTTACATTCCCACTGATAGTGAATAAGGGTTCCAGTTTCTTCACAACTTTACCAACATCTATTGTTTGCTGCTCTGTTGAATTTTGCTATTGTTACTGGGGTGAGATGATAACTCACAGTTGTTCTGAATTGCACCTGGCTTAGAGCTAGGGAGTTTGAACATTTTTTCATGTGTTTTTTTGCCATCAGAATGTCTTCTTTGGAGAAATGTCTGTTGATATCCTGTGCCCATTTCTCTCTCTACCCACGTCTTAAGGATCTTCCTCTTTTTTTATAACTCTCTATTTTCCCCAGTGTGATCCCTTTTTCAGAAGACTTGCCCCTCCTGATAACATGCCCAAAGTATGCCAGACAAAGCTCTACCATCCTTGCTTCTAAAGAGCATTCTGATTACATTTTGTCCAAGACAAAATATTCTTTTTAGTAAGTCAAGGTGTATTCAATATTATTCACCAAAATCATTATTCAAAGGTCTCAATTCTTCTTTGGTACTCCTTAGTCACTGTCCAACTTTCACATGCATCAACTGAAAATACTATGGTTTGGGTCAGGTGCACTTTGGTCTTAAAAATTATATCCTTTCTCTTTAGCACTTAAGATTTTGCTAATGCATTGTGTGGTTTCATTTCTTGACTAGCATTTTCATGAGTTTTAATTGTAAATCCAAGTAAAACAAAATTCTTGACAACTTTAATATTTTCTCCATTTATCATAATATTGTCTATTTGTTCACTTATGAAGATTTTTGGGTTTTTTTTTATGTTGAAGTATAACCCATACTGAAGGCTTCATTAACAAAAGCTTCAACCCTAGTCTATGGCATGAATAGACTTATAGTAAAAAATTTAAAACTGGGAGAGGATGAAATTGATATATGGGACCTTCTAAAAGTAAAATCATATTTGATATAAATAGAAAAGCAACAAAAACAAAAAGAAGCATCAAAAGAAAATGGAAGGAGTACACAGAGTTACGATACCAAAAAGAATTGGTTGACACACACACACAAAAAAAGTCAAATCCGGGGGGATTGTGTACCAATGAGGGAGTTTTTCTTTTGCTTTTCAAGGAGAGGAGCAAATGGGGGGGGGGGGGGGGGGGTTTGTGCGGGGAGAAGGGTGCAACAATGAATGAATGGAATCCCCAAATCTCTGTAGATGTTCACTGAAATGAAAAATAAACAACCTAAATTTAAAAAAAAAAAAAGTCAAATCCTTGTGTGCTTCTAAACCTTTTTTCCAATATGGTGAAAAGGAAGCCCACAGACTAGGAAAAATATTTGGCAACAACATTTCAGACAAGGTACTCATAACTAACATTTACAAAATACAAAATTGTACCTCCAGAAGGAAAAAAGCTGATACCCAATTACAAAATGGGCAGAAGACATGAAAAGACTTTTCACTAAGGAGGATATTTGGATGGCCAGCAAAACAAATGCATGAGGAAATGTTCAAAGCCACTAGCAATCAGAGAGATAAAAATCAAAACAATGAGATACCATCTCACACCAACATCAATCGAAAAGTTAACGACAGCAAATAATAAATGTTGCCAAGGTTGTGAGAAAATTGGAACTCTCATGCACTGATATGGCACCGTAAAATAGTATATCCATGAGGGAAGGCAGTTTGGTGTTTCCTCAAAAAGGTAAAGTAAACATAGAAATCCCATATGACTCTGCTATTCCACTACTAAGAATATATCCCAGGGAAATCAGAGCTGAGACACAAATGGTTATATGTACATCTGTTTATCACAATAGCAAGAAGTTGGAAACAACTGAAATGCCCATCAACAGACAAATGGAAAGAGCACAATGGAATAGTAAGTAGCACTAAAGAACAATGACATATTCATAAAAGGGTGCACAACGTGGAAAAGTCTAAAGGACATTGTTGTATGTGCGTTGTGTACCATAGAGTTGGAACCAACCCATAGCTGGCCCTCCAGTGGGTTTTCAGAGATAGTTAATTTCATGGGAGGAGACTGTACATCCTTCTTCCTCAGAGCAGCTGGTGGCCTTGAACTGTGTACCTTGAGTATTGCAGTGCAGCTTCTTGTTAGTAGACCACTAGAGCTCCCTGGAGGACATTATGGTGAGTGAAATAACTCCATTACAAAAGGACAAATACTGCATAAGACTACTGTTGTTAAAATAGGAAGATAACTAAACAAGATATATCTAATTGTTCAAAATACATAGATCAATAGTAATTAATTATATAAAACACAATATATATGAATGATTGTATAAAACACAATGTACATAAAAATAATATAAAAAAGGCTAAGGGAGGGCAAATAATGAGAATCTTGACAAAAATATAACCAATGTTACTGGACAATACGTGTTGAATTATTGGATGGAAACTTATTTTGCTATGCATACTTTTACTAAAAGCATAATAAAATATTTAAAAACAAAATAAAAGTTTCTTTTCAACATTAATAAGCTTTCCGTGAAAGCTTTGGAAAAAGAAAAAGTGCTTCAAATCTTCACTTTCTACAAGTAAGGTTGTGTCATCTGTATTTTACAGGTTATTGATGAGTCTCTTCTTGTAACCTGGATGCCACATTCTTCTTCATATAGGACGGCTTCTCGAATGATTTACTCACTATACAGAATGAATGTTGTTACTGTGTACTGTCAAGACAGAACCGACCCATAGCTGACCCTCCAGTGGGTTGTCAGAGGTACTTGATCACACAGGAGGAGATTGCTCATTCTTCTTCCACGGAGCACCTGGTGGCCTCAAACCATGTACCATCGGGATTGTAGCACAGCTTCTTGCCACTAGGCTATCAGAGCTCCCTATACAGAATGAATGTTGTTGTTGTTATGTGCCGTCGAGTCGCTTGCGACTCATAGCAACCCTATGTACAACAGCCCTAAACTCTGCTCTGTCTTGTGCCAATTGCACTGTCTCTGACACACCCATCCCGATTACCCCAGTCACTGAATCAATCCACCTCATAGGGGGCCTTCCCCTTCTGCGCTGTCCCTCCACCTTACCAAGCATGATGTCCATCTCTAAGGACCTGTCCCTCCTTGCAACATGCCCAAAGTATGTTAGACAGAGCCTCAGAATCCTTGCCTCCAAGGAGCAGCCTGGTTTGACCCTTTTGATTATGTGGCTCACAATAAATAAATTATGAGGAGCACTGAGAAGAATTAAAGTTTCACAATATGCAATTATGGTCCTATGAAAACTATATGGAGACAAAGAAGCAATTGTTTAAACAGAACTCCACCAGGGGGAGAGATGAGTAGCAGTAGCAAGAGGAGAGATGTACACCAGTGCTCACGGCAATGCTATTCCCAATAGCCAAAATGTGGAAATAATGATTAATAACGAACAGATTAAAAAAATGTGGTATGTGCATACAGTGGAATATTCTGCCACCATGGGAAAATTCTGTCCTGTGTTACATGCTACAGTACAGATGAACCCTGAAAACATTATGCTGAGTGAAATTAATCTGTCACAAAAGGGCCTATTTTATATGATCCCACTTACATGAAATATAAATTTAGACAAAGGTACAGAGTTCAAAATTTTTTAGTGGTTCCCAGAGGTGGGAGTTCTGGTGGCCCACTGGGCAGGGAGTTTCTCTGCTATTCCAAAGATAGTCCATTTGAATCCACCAGCTGCTCCTCAGGAGAGAGATGAGTAATCTCCTCCCATGTGATTTACAGCCTCTGAAAACATGCTGGAGGGTCAGCTATGAGGCAGTTCTGCCTTTATATCAATGAGCTGAGTTATCAATAAATCAGACCTGGGGATTTCTTGTGCTGGCTTAACATCTGTGTGATAGCTATAGATTGTTGCATTTGCTAGATGCCATTGTGGTGATTCTTACTCATAGCTATCCTATGCATAACAAGACAAAAACATGGCTCACTCCTGTGCCATCTTCTATGTCTGAGTCACTGTATCAATCCACCCTGCCTAGGATCTTCCTTTTTCTTACTGACCCTGGGCTTTACTAAGCATGATGTTCTTATCCAGGAACTCACCCTTGTGATAAGGAGCATTTTGTCTGCACTTTCTCTAAGACCATTTGTTTGTTCTGGCAGTTCATGGTATATTCAGTATTCTTCCCCAACACCATCATTTAAAGACATCAATTCTTCTTCAGTCTTCTTTATTCACTGTCCATTTTACATATGAATATGTTGTTATTAGGTGCCATCTAGTCAAGTAAGACTCATAACAACCCTGTGAAGAATAGATCCGACCCCTGTTCTATCCTCTGCCATCCTCACACTTCCTGACACACAAGAGCCCATTGCATCAATGACTGTGTCAATCCGCCTGGTTGAGGGTCTTCCTCTCTTTCACTTACTCTTCACCTTTCCAAGCATGATGTCCCTCTCCAAGGAGCAGCCTCTCCTAGCATCATGCCCAAAGTATGTGAGATGAAGCTTTATCATCTTTGCCTCCATGAAGCACTCTGGCTGCACTTTCTCCAAGACATTTGTTTGTTGTTTTGGCAGTCGTTTGGATGTGCAGTGCTTTTCTCCAACACCACAGGTCAAAGGCATCAATTCTCCTGTCATCTTTATTTATTGTCCAGCTTTCAGATGCATAGCAAATGATAAGAAATATTGTGGCCTGAATTGAATGCACCTTAGTCTTCAAATTGACATCATCACTCCTCAATACTTTGGAGAGGTCCCTGACTGCAGACTTTCCAAGTGCACTACATCTCCCAATTTCCTGACTGCTGGTACCAAAGTTAATTGTGGATCCAAGTTAGATGAGTTATTTTTCTTAAAGTGGTGATTTCAGATGATTCCTCAAGGCTTACTTTTTGCTTGAACCTTGGAGACTACCTAGTCAACTTGTCTAATTGGTTTATGAATAATTTAGAATATAAAGGCTGTGTTAAGTAGAAAACAATGACAAATAAGTAGCTTTTTGAGGCTCTTTTATGAAAAGCTGTTAATATTGGTTAACTTCTTACCTATAGGAACTAGTTGAATTAAAAGAAGCACACTTCCTCCAAAGAACAGTATCCCAGCTATGATATAACGTCTGGGTAGGGTTCGAAGTAGCAGCCAGGCTGTAACATAAGCTGGAATTTCAATCACGGCAGAGAGAAAACAGTTCAGGTAGGCATCTCCATGTAAATTAGGAGCATCGAGAGACAGAGCAAAGTAACCCACTGAAGTGAACATCCTGAAAAACAAACAAACAAAAAAAGAGGCAAAATTACAAAAAGATGGCTTCCGTCACTTTAAAATTTCACTATGATCAAGAATTGTCTGGAACTTGATGTCCTATATGTGCAGGATTAGCCACATGTGTCATCTGTATCACATTATTGATGGGTCTTCCTCCAATCTTGATGCCACATTGTTCTGCATATAGATCGAAAAGGTAAGGAGAGAGGATGCATCCCTGATACACTCCTTTCCTGATTTTGAACAGTTCAGTGTTTTCCTGCTCTGTTCTGAGAACTGCTTCCTAGTTAAAGGACGGGTTTTGCATAAGCACAGTCAAGTGTTCTGGGATTCCCATTTTCCTCACGGTTAGCTACAATTTCTTGTGATCCACAGTCAAACGCCTTTGCATAGTTAATGAAACACAGATAGACATTCCCCTGGAACTCTTTGCTTTCTGCCAAGATCCATCTGACATTGGCACTAATGTCCCTAGTGCTACCACCTCTTCTAAACACAGCTTGTATTTCTGGTAGTTCTCTGTCACTATAATGTTCCATTTGTTTCTGAATAATCCTCAGCAGGATTTTGCTAGTGTGTGATATAAGTGATATTGTTTGATAATTTGCACACTTTGACAGGTCACCTTATTTTGGAATGGGAATAAATATGGATGTCTTCCAGTCAGTTGACCAGGTAGTTTTCCTCCAGATTTCTTGGCACAACTTGGTGAGCACATCCAGGGAAGCAACTGTTTGTTGAAATACGTCAATTGGTATTCCATCAATTACTGGGGCTTTACTTTTTGCTACATCCTTTAGAGCGGCCTGGACTTTCTCCTTCATTACCATTGTCTCTTGATCATATGTTGTTTGTTGAAATTCTTCTTGTGTAAGCCACTTCTTTTTGGTACAATGACTCTGTATACTCTATCTTCTTTTATTGCTTCCTGATTCATTCAATATTTTGCCCATTAGCATCCTTAAGCATTGCAACTTGTAGCTTGAATTTATTCTTTAATTCCTTCAGTTTAAGAAATGCTGTGTAAGTTCAGCCCTTTTGATTTTCTGACTACAGATCCTTGCACATTTCATTATAATATTTTGCCTTGTCTTCTATTTAGCTCCTAATTTCTTGATTTCTTCCCTTTGCTTTGGCTTCTCAGTGCTTTAGTGCAATATTCGGAGTCTTTTCCGATATCCATTTTGGTCTTTTCTTCTTTCTTTGTAATGACTTTTCGCATCCTTCATGAACGATATTCTTGGTATCTTCCCACAGCTCCTCTGGTCTTCGTTGCTTGCTGAAACTGAAAAATATCTGAAGCACTTGCAGCAGAAGGTCAAGGACTGTAGTCTTCAATATGGATTGAAGCTTAACATTAAGAAGACAAAGATTCTCACCACTGGGCCAATTGGCAGCACCAGGATAGATGGAGAAAAAGACTGAGGTTGTTAACAGTTACAGCTTGCTTGACTCCACAGTCAACATTAAACACCAGTGGTCAGAAAATCAAAAGACTAATTGCATTGGGGAAATCTCCTGTCAGGGACCTCTCCAGAGTGCTGAAAAGCATTGATGTCAGTCATATTCGAAAGATTTCAGTGGAGCTTTCAGACTAAGAAGCAAGATCGGACATCCATTCCTAAATAGTGAGCAGTCAAAAACCCTCTACAAGGCTGTGGAACTTTGTCTAACACAGTACTAGAAGATGAGTCCCTCAGACTGAAGGCATTCAAAATGTGACTGGAGAAGAATTGCCTTCTCAAAGCAGAGTCTACCTTAACAAAGCAATTGTAGTAAAGATTCCACTGAATGACGGGGCCTCATTTGCTGATGTGACATGATTCAAAAGGAGAAGAAACAGCTGAAAAAAAATTCATTAATAATTTGGAATATTGAACATATGATATATGATGCCATGAAAATTGGAAGTTGTCAAAAATGAAAATGAAACCCATAAAAGAAATCTTGGTCATTAAGGATGAAGAGGCCTGATATTGGCTATTTTTAATCACACAATCGTATGATCTACCATGACAAATTGTAGAGGAATGGTGTCATACTCATTATAAAAAAGAATATTTTAAGTTTTGGCCTAAAATGCAATGCTGTCAGTGATAGAATAATATCCACAGGGATATAATAATAATTATGGATAGCATTAAGAAGAATGAAGACTCCAGGACACTTATTTGTGCTCATAAAGAATCTATCTATGAAGCAAGAAGCGGCAGCCACTTGCACAGAATAAAGGTAAGCTGTGTGGTTTAAAATCAGAAAATGTGTACATCAAGGTTACAAGTCTTTCACCATATCAATTCAATTAGTATGCTTATCAAATCATCCGAGAATGTGACATTTGGATTAGAAGAAGAGTCATTAACAATGTTCGATAGGCAGATAACACAACCTTGCTTGCTTAAAGTGAAGAGGTCTTGAAGCACGTACTGAAGATCATCAAACAAATGTATATTGGAAGAAATGCAGCCAGAGTGTTCCTGAGAAGCAAGAATTGAGACTGTCTCACATACTTTGGCTATGTTGTCAGGAGCAGTCAGTCCTTGGAAGGGGACTTTGTTTGATCTTTTTGCCATCCAAGGTATATTCCATAATCTTCACCATCACCACAATTCAAAATTATCAGTTCTTCTTCAGTCTTCTTTATCCATTACTTAACATTCACATGTATATGAAGTAATTGACAATACTATGGCACGGATCAGGAACTCATTAGTCTTTAAACTAACATTCTTGCTCTTTAATACTTTAAAGAGAGTTTTGATAGCTGATTCACCCTGTGTAAAATACAGTGACTTCCACAGGTGTTCACTATGAATCTTGTTGTTGTTAAGTGCCATCGAGTTGTAGATGACACATAGCTCTTATGAATGAAAGTCTTGAACACGAAAGACTTTAGTCTTCCAAGACGGCGAGGTTGGCACAGGCTAGAACGGCGTTTAGGGCTCTTGTACATATAGGGTCATTATGAGTAGCAAGCGACTTGATGGCACATAACAACAAGAAGTTCATAGAGTTTCTGAAGGCAAGCTATTTCAGAAGTGGATGCCAAATGAAATTCTTTTTTTTTTTTTTCAAATGAAATTCTTGACACACACAACTTCAATATTTTCTCCACTTATGATGCTTCCTACTGATCCAGTTGTAAAGATTTTTTTGTTGTTGACATGTAATCCATACTGACTTGTTACTTTTGTTTGGGACTAACATTCTTTTAAGTGTTACAGAACTGGTCTATCAATTTGTGGTACTGAGATAACTTGGGGTTGCTGTGAATGCTCAATACTGTGCCACTGGTGTGTCAGATGCCATAATGGTTACCAGTGGTTGACAGCATTTGGAAGAGCTTCCAGGTTAAGACAGGCTTGGAAGCAGGAGTGCATCCACTTCCTAAACAACATGCCTCTGGAAATTCTTTGAACTCAGAGGAATGACGATAGTTATAGCACAGGGTTCAGGTTTTTGTTCATAGGGTTGCTATGAGTCATGTATGACTCGATGGCACTTAACAACAACAACAACAACAACAATCCATACTGAAAACTGAAAGCCAGTCCTTAGAAATGGACATCATGCTAGAAAAGAAGGAAGGCCAGCAAAGGAGAAAGCCTTCAGTGTAATGGATTGACATAGTGCCTTCAACTACTGGCACAGACCCAGTGGAGACTGTGAGGATGGTGCAGGATTGGGCAGGGCTCACACTTGTACACTTTGAGTCACTGTGAGTTGAGCTGAATTGACGGCACCTAACAACAACAGCAGCAACAACAGCAAAACCCACATATACCAATGTTCAACAATGCCTATCCTAAGCTGACTGACTGCAGGTTTCATTATTTCCTGAATAGTTTGTATATTTCATTCCCTTAGGGGTGGTATTTGAAGAAAGAATGTCAGTTGTATCAGTAAACATAAAACCAAGAACTAATTTTTTTTTAAAAAAAAAAGATAAAATTTTAGTTCTATGGGATCCCCCCACAGTAAATTTTTATTTAGGGAAGTTCACTTTAGAGAAAAGAATGAAATTTCATAAAATTTCAAACATCAAAAAAATATAAACTGCATATCCTATTATTACAGTTAACTTCCATCCAGAAGCTTCTTGGAAATAATAACTGTACAGTACACTATAGGCACAAGCTTGCTTATTACTAACATAACTGAAAGGCAAAGAATGTCTGAAAAGATGTCTCTAGAATCCCAATTGGGTCTTTCAAAAATACACACTATATACTACGTTGGTGAGAAGACCTGGTGGCTACAGTTGTAAATGTGCTTGGTTAAAACTGATGAACCACTCCATGGGAGAAAGATGCATCGGTCAGCTTCCTCAAAGAGTACAGCCTCAGAGATGGCAGCAGGCAAGTCTGCTTTATGCTATAGGGTTGCTATGAGTTGCAATCTATTCAACAGCAATGGATCTATTTTGGTCTTGGGTAGAATAATACAAGAGTTAACTTCAAACAATGCAGAGCAAAATTAAACTCCACTGCTGTAGAGATCTTAAAATTGTTTACAGTTTTTAGTGATATGTGCAGGGATGGTAAAAACTAGTCACTCGTTTATATTACTAGGGAGCTCTGGTGGCTTAGTGATAAGCTGTGCTGTCAACCCAAAGACATAGAGTTCAAATCCACCAGCTGTTCTGCAGGAGATGGATGGGCAGTCTCCTCCCATGCAATTTACTGCCTCTGAAACTTTCCGGAGGGTCAGTTATGGGTAAGTTCTGGCTCAAAATTACACCACAACAGTTTATTATTGGCTCAGTAACACCGTTGTTCAGGATAAACTTGCACTTGAGAGATATGCTGACATGTAAGAACCAAGATGGGTCATAGCAAGGAATAGCATGTGCTTAGGACACACTTGATCAATTCAAAGTTGGACTCTGACACTCATTTTTTCAAATAGACTAGCTGTAGCTTTACTCATTCTGATTTTCATCTCTGTGTGTGTCACTGTCACTGTAGGACAAGTTTTTCTCCTTTGTCTCATTTCTTGGCAGATGTCTTGTTAAATATGATCTATAAGGTAAATTCATTACTTCTTTGCCAGTCAATAACTTTACTAGTTTGATATTCCCCAAACACAAACTCACTATCACAGAATCAAATCTGATTCTTAGTGACCCTATGCAGATGACACAACCCTGCTTGCTGAAACTGAGGAGGACCTCATGCACTTGCTAGGAAGGGTCAAGGACTGCAGCCTTCAGTATGGACTGAGGCTCAATGTCAAGAAGACAAAGATTCTCACCACTGGACCAATTGGCAGCGTCAGGATGGATGGCGAAGAGATTGAGATTGTTCACAACTTCAGTTTGCTCGGCTCCACAGTCAACACTCTTGGCACCAGCAGTCAGGAAATCAAAAAGCATATCACGATGGGAAAGTCTGCTGTTAGGGACCTCTCTAAAGTACTCAGGAACAACGGTGTCTCTCTGGAGACTAAGGTGCACCTGATACAGGCCATGATATTTGCAATCGCTTGTTATGCATCAGAGAGTTGGACAATGACTAGGGAGGACAGAAGGAGAGTGGATGCTTTTGAGCTGTGGTGCTGGAGAAGGGTACTGAATGTACCATGGACTGCCAGGAAAACAAACAAATTCATCTTGGAGAGGATTAAACCAAGCTACTCCTTGGAGGCAAGGATTCTGGGGCTTCGTCTGACATACTTTGGACATGTTGCCAGGAGGGAGGGTCCTTGGAGAGGGACATCATGCTTGGGACGGTGGAGGGACAGCGCAGGAGGGGAAGACCCTCTATGAGATGGATTGATTCGGTGACTGGGGTAATTGGGATGGGTGTGTCAGAGGCAGTGTGGTTGGCGCAGGATAGAGCAGGGTTTAGGGCTGTTGTGAATAGCGTCGCTATGAGTCGCAAATGACTCGACGGCACATAACAACAACAACAACATAGGACAGAGTAGAGCTGCCCCATGGGGTTTACAGGGTTAGAAATCTTTACAGAAGTGGACTGCCTCATCTTCCTCCTGCTGGTGGATTCGAATCACTGGCATTTTGGTTAACAGACAAATGCCTTAAGCATAGAGTCACAAGCAAGTGTAAAAAGACTTCAAGTCCAGAGAGTGGGGATGCAGGGAATTCTAACATCACTGTTCAATTACCAAAGCCAATGCAGTTTCAGGAAGCAAAATGTGAATTAGCAATTGTACTGAGGCACCAGGGACATCATTAATCTCATAATTCAATAACTTAAGGAGGAGAAGGAATCCTTTCCCTATGGGTTACAATTCTGCAAACTTTGATATAGTTCCCTGCACTTTTTTAGCATCCAGTTCCTTAAATTGTATCGAGGCATCTACAGTTAACTTCCGGTTGTGAGCGGTTGTTGTTAGTTGCCATTGAGTGGCTCCGGATTGTGATGACGCCATGTTCAACGGAACAGAATGCTGTCCATTCTTTTGCCATCTCTGTAATTGTTGGTAGGAAAGTCCATTGTGCAGCCACTATATTATGAGTGCCTGCCAACCTGAGGGTTTCATCTCCCAGCACTATGCTGGACAATATTCTGTTGTGAGTCATAGGGTTTTTGTTGGCCACTTTTCAGAAGCAGATTGCTGGGTCTTCCTTCCTAATCTGTTTTTGTATGGACCACTTCCCTGAAACCTATCCACCCTGGGTGACCCTCTGGTATTTAAGAAACTGTTGGTATAGCTGCCAGCATCATAGCAACACATAAAACACCACTGGTTATGCCAAACTGACAGCATGTGGCAGATAAGAGAATGCTATCCTTTTTACCTTGCCTCAGAGCCTCTCAGACCTTGCCCAGATGTTTCCTCTGAACTAAAGACAATAAATCAGTTGCATACTTATGCATACGATATGTACGCATTTCCAGATCACTTATTACTTACCAGAGCAACACAGACATAATGGTGATTGTGGCAATATTCCGATTCTTAAATAGGTCCAGAATGAAAACTTTCGGCTGCTTCAGGGGCTTTAGCTCTTGTAGCTAAAATAACAGAAATAACCATGAGATTCTCTTACCCATTGCCGTTGAGTCAGAAGTGGCTCAGAGCTGACCCTCCAGTGGATTTTCAGAGGCTGTAAATAGCACGGGAGGAGACCGCCCATCTTTCTCCCTCAGAGACTGTGGGGAATTCAAACCACCAGAGAGCACCACCTTTGGGTGAGCAGTGCAGCTCCACATGGGCTACACCACCATGAAATTAAGAGATAGAAGATGGGAACATTTATGCATACAACTTTCGCTCTGCCTTGAACAAACTCAGAAGTCTGAAATCTGAGGGGAATAAAGGCATCCACCACTGACCTTTCTGTTTGTAGTCAAGTACCTAACCATTTTGCCACAGAAGAAAAGACCTGGCATTCTGTTCCCTGAAAGAGTACAACCTAGGAGACACGGCAGGACAGTTTTACTCTGTTATGTAGGGTTGCTATGAGTTTGTCTGTCTTAGAGAGTGTGAAATCAAGTTTCTCCTTGGAGGCTAGGATTTTGAAGCTCTGTCTCACATACTATGGGCATGTGGCCAGGAGGGAGGGACTAATCCTTGGAGAAGGACATCATACTCAGAAGGGTGGAGGGACAGTGCAGGAGAGGAAGACCCTGGACGAGATTGATTGACATAGTAACTGGGGCAATGGGGGCAGGTGTGTCGGAGTCAATGAGACTGGCTCAGGACAGGGCAGGGTTCTGAAGTGACTGGGTGGTGCATAACAACAGCAACATGAGTTGGAATTAGCTCAGTGGACCATAGCAAAAAAGGCCACTTACAAATGTAACTTTTATTCTAATTCATTCAAATACTCTTAGTCCACTTAAGACAGATTTTTTTTTAAAAAAAATACAGATCATTAGCTGCAGTATCTTTTCACGTTAAAGCCTGTTTGTTAACACAGCCTTTTCTTGATTCATGATCATCGCTTTGGATGGTTTTTGTTACACAGAGCTGTTTAAGCCCTGTTTGTGTGGTTCACTATAAACTCCAAATGGCTTCGAGGTCCTATCTGATTAACATAAATTTTAGTTATTTTATTGTCTTGACTCAGGCACTCAAGAGACCTTGGACAAGTTATTATTTATCTTCTCTGAAACTCAGTTTACTTCTCTAAAATGAGCATTAATAATTGAGATTTGAGAAGATTAAATGAGATAATTTATATAAAAAGATTAGCACAGTACCTGAATTATGGTAAACACCCAATAAATTTATTCTTTTATATTATTACCTCACCAGTGAGGAAAAGATATTAGGAGATTAGATAGCCAAGTTTATTAGGGTTGGAACTGGAATAAAATGAAAGGCTTTGAGGTAGAATTCCTTAGGGTTAAAAGTACAAGGACTTTGTCACCCTATGATATTTATCTAATAAGAGAGGAAGGACATGCCTTTATTACAAAGCAAGAGTGTCAGATGTACCTTTGTAGCAAATGCTTCCCGATATTAACATGCTTCTTTGTAGAAACAGATATCTTCCCAGGCATCTCGCAGCCATACTACCTTTTTTCTCCTTCACTAATAAGAGTGTTGTTTTGTAATAGTGAGGCCCCGTCAGATGACATAGAACTTCCCCTGAAGATTTCCGACACTGTAATCTTCATGCGAGCAGATATCCAGGCCTTTTCCCATGTCCCTGTGGAGTCTCCCCATGGAGTGGCTGGTGGGTTAAAACTGCCTGTCTTTTAGTTATTATCTAAGTGCTTGACCATTGCACCACCAGGAATGTCATTGGTGTTGATTGCTGTCGAGTAGAACAACATGCCTCCAGAAACTCTGTGAACTTTGATAAAGGCTGATGGTTATGGAAAGGCTTCAGGCCTTCTATTCATGGGGTCACTATGAGTCGTGCTCAACTCAACAGCGGTCAAGAACAACAATCACCCAAGAAAAGCCC